AATAGCAAAGTCTATGTTCGCTTTTAAAATTCCAAGGGAAATAAGAGTAAAGTCTCTCTAAACTATTCCAAAACTAAGACACTGTTAAACTGCTATAAGAAGAAACTCAATTTTAGCTATTTGCTTAAAATACTTGACATTTCATATTTACATTTCTCTTTTAAGATTTGTTTAAATTATAGCTTATGGTTCATGAAATATATGTTTGAATAGTTGATCTGTGAAAAATAACTTATAAACAGAACTATTAAGCTATAGAGGTCAGAGCACATGACACTGAAAGTGAAAAACACCGGAGTTAAATGGCATTGAACAATCCTAGCGATTATTTAAATGTCATTCTATTAGTTTGTCATTAAAAACGGAATACCTGATTGTTTCCAAGAAATCAAATCTAATATATTAAAATGTCATATCAATAAAAACAACCCCTTGGAATCTCTGTTTCCAAGTTTTAAAATGCCACTGCTATAGACAATTAAAAAATGAAGTAGTATTTCTAAGCTTGTTTATTTCTTTCAGTTTTCTCCAGTTAATGGCTACTCTGAATAACACTATCTGTGAAAAAGAGACAAGTCTTGATTGCTCACTGATGCTCATTTAAGTTTAAATGGATGTGAGAAAATATACTAGCTCCTGTTTCCATTAGCATAGTTCCATTGCTCTCCTCTTGTCTATCTTCCACCGCTGCTGTCAGAAAAAGAGCAGCCTCAGTTTCACAGAATGCATTTTCAGTAGCTATCAACAGATTGAAGGGGAAGAAGAGTAATTCCACTTGTAAGAGCAGAAAACAACATGCATTCTGAGTTATATTCCAGTTGTTCTCAGAGAAAGAAATAAAAGCTTTCACTTTGCAATTAAGCTTGCCAGTTTAACAAGTATGATCAATTTCTGGCTAGGCCACAAAAAGATGCCTCAAATTTATTTTAGATTTTTTAATTTCTTAGATTTAGTGAGTGAAATACTTTGCTTGTTTGGAGTGAAGTCTGTAAATATAAAAGTAGTCATCTGAACATCGCACATTTTCATGACATTAGCACAGAAAGTACAAATTGCTTCACCTTATGAAGAAAATGGGCAAATTTCAGAATTCCTGTTTGGAAATTTTAACAAAACACATTTTGTTTTAAAGGTCTCAGCAAAAGATTAAATTTTATAAATTTTTAAAGCTTTCTCTAGGTATCATTATTACATAGAACATAGAACTAAAATAAAATTTTAAATAAGGCAGAATTTTACCAAATATTACCTACTTAGACATTTAAAGGTGGTATTTAGTTAATAGCAATTTAAAAGAAAAATAGCAAAAATAAAAAAAAAAAAAGGCAAAACAAAAACTTCCAACAAAAGAGACTAGGTAATAGGCAATGATGAAGATTTAATATTTCAGAGCATGTTTTGGGAGCTTTTGGTCAAGCACAAATCCTTTGAGGGATGCTCAGTTAAGGTGTAATTCATTTACAGAACATTTAGAAAATTAAGACATCATACAGACATGGCATTGTGAAACAGTAGAAATTGGGGGCTTGGAGGGTCAAAATTAACTTATTAACTAAGTGATCTTGGAAATATTTCTTAACTCTTTGTCAGTTCAGTTTCCTAGTATGTAAAATGGACTTCTCATCCACAATATAGCATTAATGTGAAGATTAAGTGCTAAATGCCTGGATACAAATGAGTCCTTAATACGTATCAGTTCCTGCATAAAATAAATAATGGTCAGATCTAAATCATTCTTGGTTTAATTAAATGAGGCCTCATAAAATGAGGGATAAATCTTAAAGTATTCCCAGAGGAAATTTTGGATTTGTATTTGAAGGGAGAAAAAGCATGTGTATAAAGAAATGAGCCATGTTTCATACCCCACCACAACTCCCCACCATGAAAATAATGCCATGTAATCAATTATAGGCCCACCTACCTAAGGACATAAAGGTGAATGGAATGAAAGGCAAGAGAACATTTAGGATAAGAAACAGCAGAGAAGCATAACATTAGTGACCACAGATCATAAACAGAGAAGTATCTAGTTTTAAGGAACTGCAGAATAAAATGGTAATTTAACAATTAAATATATTAACTGAAGAGGGTCATTCAGAAAAGACTTCAATGGGGAGGGTGGTGGCATTCATCCACTGATACTACTCAGAATAGGCCTGGAAAAGTAAACCTCACTTAAGAAAGGAAGTATAAGATGCAAATAGCAGAAAAGCCAAAACTTTAAATCATAAAGTGAAGAAATGTCCTCAGACACTAGAAAGGAGTGTCTTCAAGGGCTAACCTGAAGAGCACTGTATGTGGGGATGAAAGGTGAGTCAATAGTATTGAGCCAATTTGAGCAAAACAGTATGATTTTTTCAGTGTACTAACTTTGGGTTCTACACAAATTGCTAACGAACAAGTAAACAGAAAGAGTGATGGAAATAAATATGATCAGTCTTTGAGTGTGGCAGCCTCTACTGAGGGAAGCAAAATCACTGGCTCCAGCATTGCTCTCTGAAATCCTTCACTGGTTCACACAGGTGAACACACCAGGTATCCCACAGTCAGAAAGATGCCAGACAATGAATGAGTAGAGCAGTGATACTATGGTTCCAGGACTCCCCACTGGCCTTGCCAAAACTTTCTTAAAACTGCAATGCAGTCTAAAACCTTCGTTTTTCCCTCTCTCCTTCAAAAGGTTTAGATGCATGGAGACCTCAAAGCTCTTCCAGCCTCTTCCAGCTCCCTTGTTTACTTTACAGTGTTTCCCTCTTGAATGTCTGATGTCATCTTGATATTTGCTTCTCAGAGAGCTCAGACTGACATATTTAGTTACTAATGCCAACCTTAAAATTTTCTCTACGTAGGAATCATTGAACAGAAAGAGTTTCTAATCTCCTGCCATTACTATCATTATTCTAGGGAAGGAAGAACCTCATTGCCTGTACTAAGTGTTGGAGTAGAAGAAATGAGAGGAAAAACACTCCGGAGGAGGTGCTTTAATCACTGGAGCATTAGAGGCCGAGAAAGATATGCTCTCCACCCTTCCTCCCAAACCCTCTACCACATATCCAGAAAAAAACAAGGAAATGCCTCACCACACTCACAGAAGAGTGATCAATAATTTCCTTTTATGGTCCTGGGCTTGGGAAAAGTGAGAGGGACAGATGCGTTCTAACCTCCTGACAGCTGGAGAGAGACTAGCTCTGGCTGCAGTGTACAGTATAGACTGGAGTGCTAACAGTTGGAATCATAATCACCAATTAGGAGGGATATTAATTATAATGTCCTTTAAAGCTATTACACAGTTGTACTTGCATTATCTCATTTAACCATCAAAACAGCCCTGTGAAGAAGGTATTGTTAGTGTCAGGCCATGTGTTCCTGGCTTTTCTCCTACTTTGATAATTTCTCTTTCTCAGTATTTTTTGCTGTCTGGGTCCTTACTCTTCATTAAACCTTAATTAGTGTGCCTAGGATTCAGCCTGAAACCTCTTCTATTACCTTCCTGTACTGAGGTTTTAAAGGCCTTTTAAATTCAAACGATGACTTTCAAATTTCTCTAGTTCAAATCTCTCCAGTTAGTTAACATAAATAATGCAATCTACTTGACATCTCCATTTCAATATAACAGATGTTGTCAAAACCTGCTCATTTCCTCGAGCATCTCCTGCTTAAACCCTCTGTGGTAGCAAAAGCAAACTTCTTTTTTGCCTATGTCCCTGCATAATCTAGGTACTTCCTTCCTTTGTCCTATCATTCACTTACTCAACAAGTTAGAACCACAGTGGACTTCCAGTCCTCACGTATTTCAAAACTTATTTCCACTTTAGGCTTCTGCAATTGTCTGTTCTCCTTTTATCTCTAGTTCTTCAAGTGACTAACTCTTTTTTCTATCATTCAGGTCTCAGTGCAAATGCCACCTCCTCAGAAACCATCCCTGACACCCCTCAGTAAGTAACCCTTCATTTCCCAATGCCTGTGTCACTCAATTTCATCATTCAATTTTATTTTCTTAATAGCACTTATAATCTGAGATCACCTTATTTGTATGACTCCCAAACTTTGAAAATTAAGTATCAGCTTCATGATATACCCAGATAGTATTAGCTCTAACCTCTAGCAACACCTAGAACATAGTTAAGGACTCAAATATTCATATGTGTCCTCAGTTAAGGACACAGTATGAAGGTGGAATTCAAATTCACAGAACATGGAGCTTTACTCCACAGCATGCTACCTACTCCAGTAAATGTGCCTCCGCTGAGGTAGCAGTTGTATGAGTGCGCACCTTCTGTTTGTATACATGCAGAGAACTAAATTATTCCACCACTAAAGACACAGTGGCAAATTCAAACCATCAGCCCTTCTGTGACATATACAAAATCATAATAAAGGAAAAATATTAACTATAAAAAAGGCAAGAAACATCATTTATGATAAGGTAGTTCAAGATCCTAAATAGCACTTACAGTTCAGACAAGGAAATAAGTAAAATCTGGAAGCCTTTTCCAATTTAGGGGCTTTTAACCTCACAAGAGGGAGAAAGAATTCTGCAGGTGGAGGTAAAGTAAGTGATAGGCACCATCGTGAGAACAGTCAGGAAGAATAACCCCCAGATTGCCTTGAAGCAGAGAAATAATTCAGCGAAGAAAAGAGAATGGAGGAATAAGAAAAGAAGACAGGAATAAAATTGTGAAGCCCTTTCCACTCACTTAGAAGTAAAAATGGAATTAAAACATCAAATGAATTAGAACACTGGTACTCGAGCTTGCCTTATGTCAAACACCATTATAAAGAACATCATTTAAAGGGTAAATTGATGTGATCACTATATTTAATGAAGAGACAAACCTTTAAGGGCATATCCTTATTTTCATATAGTATTTACCCAAAGTTGATTGAAGACTGGGAGAAAGAGCACTTTTAGTCCTAGAACTGATTACAAATTGAAACAATTACCCTCTATTAAGGGGAAAATCATCTCTTACTCAAAAACACCCAAAAATCAGACTCACCGATCTTCTAAAACTTTGATGGTTTCATGAAGGACTTTCTGTTGCTCTCTCAGCTGTTGATTTTTGGTGAAGAATTCTTCTAGTCTCTGTGCATCTCTGAAAATCAAAAAATAAGTTAAAAAAAAATCCTAATAGGACAGTTATCAGAACAGGATAATTCTGCTCTAAAACCCCAAACTATGGTCTCACACTTATGTATCATGTATTTCTTGCATTAAAACAAACAACTCAAAAGGTCAAGTTTGAATATCTTGTTAATCAGCTTTCGGATTATACTGGCGTTTGCTCTGGAGTATTTTTAAGTACTATAGAAGTAGTATTCTAAGTATCAGACATCCACTGCACAATACAGAAACACAAATGAAGGAATGGATTCTGATGTCACCAGACTCAATGTTGTCAAAATACTATTAAAATGTACACTTACTGCTTTTTATTATTTTGTCTACATTTGTTAATGTAAATTATAGGTATATCTACTCACATCATTCCTATTCCAATTATAGGGATTTTTCACACCGTATTAATTTCTGTGTTGCTTAAACTTCTTACCTGATACTATTTTTAAGCTAGGGGCTTATATTGGAGTGGGAGTACATAAACCCTAGATCCTTATGACTAGGTTTGAATTTCAGTTTCATTTATCAGCTGTGTGATCTAGTGCAAGTAATCTAAACTCTCTGTGCATACGTTAGTGCCACCTCATAAGGTATTTGTAAGTACTAAGTACCAATGTATATATAGCATGCAGAACAGTGATGGCATGTAGTAAGCTCTATTTAAGTTTACCATTATGATTTTATAGTGAGGAAAAAACAAGGACATCTAAAATCTCCTTCCAGTATATCACCTGATTACTTCCCAAGGTTGTGTCTTATTTTATCCTTCAATCATTACATATTTAAAAAAATCACATTATATGAAATAAGCACATACATTTAAAAAATTTTTTTATTTTGGTAACGTCAATGTACAATTACTTGAACATTATGTTACTAGACTCCCCCTATTATCAAGTCCCCACCACATACCCAGTTACAGTCACTGTCCATCAGTGTAGTAAGATGCTATAGAATCATTACTTGTCTTCTCTGTGTTATATTGCCTTTCCCGTGTCCCCGCCACCCCACACTACATTATGTGTGCTAATCTTAATGCCTCTTTTCCCCCCTTATCCCTCCCTTCCCACCCATCCTCTCCAGTCTCTTTCCTTTTGCTAACAGTTAGTCAATTCTTGGGTTCTGTGAGTCTGCTGCTGTTTTGTTCCTTCAGTTTTTTCTTTGTTATTATGCTCCCCAGATGAGTGACATCATTTGATACTTGTCTTTTTCCGCCTGGCTTATTTCACTGAGCATAATACCCTCTAGCTCCATCCATGTTGTTGCAAATGGTAGGATTTATCTTCTTCTTATGGCTGAATAATATTCCATTGTGTATATGTACCACCTCTTCTGTATCCATTCATCTACTGATGGACACTTAGGTTGCTTCCATTTTTTGCCTATTGTAAATAGTGCTGTGATAAACATAGGGGTGCAAATGTCTTTTTCAAACTGGGCTCCTGCATTTTAGGGTAAATTCCTAGGAGTGGAATTCCTGGTCAAATGGTATTTCTATTTTTAGTTTTTTGAGGAACCTCCATACTGCTTTCCACAATGGTTGAACTAATGTACATTCCCACCTGCAGTGTAGGAGGGTTTCCCTTTCTCCACATCCTCACCAACATTTGTTGTTGTTTGTCTTTTGGATGTTGGCCATCCTAACTGGTGTGAGGTGATATCTCATTGTGGTTTTAATTTGCATTTCTCTGATGATTAGCAATGTGGAGCATCTTTTCATGTGCCTATTGGCCATCGGAATTTCTACTTTGGAGAAGTGTCTGTTCAGATCCTCTGCCCATTTTTTAATTGGCTTATTTGCTTTTTGTTTGTTGAGGTGCATGAGCTCTTTATATAATTTGGATGTCAACCCCTTATCGATATGTCATCTATGAATATATTAAAATAAGCACATATTTTAATTCTAAGAAAACTCATTAGAAATTTAACTGGGATTGTCTGCGTGGACTTGAAGCTAAAAAGGACAGTACTGTGACTGAAAATCTTTCCCCAATCCCCTCAAGGGTCTAAAATATCTAAGGACAACAAACAGTAGATAAAAAGCAGATGACAAATGATTGTGTCAAAATGGCTAGGAGGTAGGATGAAGCATTACTGACAAGTAGATGAGTAAAACTAAGTCAGAACATCAGATATTCAATATAGAGGGTGCTACTTCAACACTGGTAATGGTTGATAGGGAAGGAAAAACAACACAGCCACACAATTTCAAAATAGAGTGAAATATGGTGTAAGCTGGGTCTATCTTGGACCTCATCCAAAAAATTAGTTATTACTTTACCAATAAGCAACCTCACCTGTCTAAGGAGAGCTCAGTGTATGTACCAATCCCACAGGCGGCACTTTGCTAGACTCATTATCATTTTCCTAGTGGGTGGCCTTCTGTCTTTCTGGGGTAAATGAATGTTTTAAACATAACTGACATGTAAAACTGGATAAATCTTGTATATGGAGACATAAAATAAAATGATAGATAGTAAACCCTCTCATTTATCACATATATCAGTCTTTCCATTACTTTAAAATCAAGGTCACATACTGGGAAGGATGAGGATTGTTATAAGGAGAGAAAACAGGTACTACTATGAATAGAGAAAACAATATATGTTCAAGTTGTATTCTCTATAAACATTATTTGTGATAAGGAATTAAGATTATGAAAATAGTCCTGTACAACTGCAGATATTTTTCTTTGTTAAATTCTTTAATTTAAAAAATAACTTAAAAGGGTTTATTTGTAGGTGGGTTGTTTATACTTAGGATTTTTAAATTTCTCAGCAGCTAAAAAGGGAATTATCTTAAGTGCCATAAAGCTGATGTCTAAATACGGTAAATGTTGTCTTTCTATTTCCTCATTGGAAAATAGTTATTGTTTTTCTTTAAATAATGGTAGAACTAGTTAAATGGTAGTGATATTTTGTTGCCTATCCAACAGCCATTCCCTTCTGATTCCTTGCTAAAAGAATACAGATTTTTTTCTTCAATATCCAGCAGCTGCTTATAGAGAAGCTGATCTTCTCTCCAGACTTGGAGATGAATCTTAAAACTTTTCCATTTTTCAAATGTTTCATTCTACCATAAATTCAGACTTATAAATAAGTTATAAACATAGAATATAATATCTGTATATATATATATCATTTAGCTTCTCAAAATGTTGATATCTTCTATTAACTATAATACATTTATCAAAATTAATAAATTAACATCGAATACTATTAACTCATCTATAGACCTTATTCAAATTTTCCAAATGTCCCTCTAATATTAATCATTTTTCTGCATTTACTGCTGTGTCTCCTCCAGTCTAGGGGAGTCTCTTCATCTTTCACAACCTTAACACCTTTGAAAAAGTACTGGCCAGTTATTTTGTTGACTGTCTCTTAACTTGGGTGTTTCTGATGTTTCCCCATGACAGAATTAGGGCTCTACATTTTTGGTGAGAAGACTACAGAAGTAATGTGCTCTTCGTGGTGCATCATACCGGGAGGCACATGAGCTTGACATAACTGATGTCTAGTGATGTTAACTTTGATCATTTGATGGAGATGAAGTTATTTGGTTTCTCTGCTGCACTATTAGAATTTTTCCCTTGGTAATCAGTAAGTATCTTGTACAGAGATAAATTTTGAGTACTTTGCAAAATTTGTAATTATTGTTTTTCATCACACTTTCACTAATTTCAGCCTCCAGTGATGATTTCTGCCTTCAACATCTATTGCTTTGATGTTTGCAAAATGGTGATTTTTTTTTATTTCTAACATTCTTTCTACATAGAGTAGTTGAAATTCTACTTAGGAAGAGCCATCAGCTTATTCTATGGGAAGCCAACATTATCAAACTTCATGTTCATGTTGTCCTAGACTTTGCCATTAGGAGTTTTTCAAGTTGTGTTCTGTATTTTTTCAACATGTCCCCATTAATTTTTGAGCATTTATTTATTTTCTGGCACTGCAATATGTCCCAGCTCATCTTGGACTTTGCATATCCCAGAGCCCTGAAGTCAGCCAGTTCTCCAAAGAGCCTTGATTCCTTTTATTGGAGAATGTCCTTTAGAAATCACAATCTGGGCCTCATGTGTGCCCATAACTAACTATTGGGAATAACTGTTTCTAGGCCCTCTCAATGGACCACACCCAGGAAATACATGTATGTTCTCATGAACATAACTATGTATTTATATTTCTCTATCTATATATTAAAAACTATGAATTCATACAGATACCTCCAACTCCTCCCTAAGGCACAGGGTTCATTCTAGCCTTCCCCCTTTTCTGATTTGTAATTCCTTTCTTCTGACACTAAGAAACCTAGACCTCACTATCAGCAATATATTAACTTATTTGCTCAGTCCTAGAACACACCTAAAAAAGGGTTAGAATCTTTTTTAGCCCAAGCCAATCATGTTTAATTGAATTCTCTTTGCCAGTTACTGTTTAGGAATAAATAGACAATTACTGAGTTAGAACCAAGTCCGTTGGGTATGCTACTGGCAAACTTTTATAGTTAGTAAAAAGGGACACAAGAATGTTCTGCACATAAAAACTAGAATGACAACAGCCACCTTGCCATTCTGTAGTGAGGCAAAACCAAGATGGCAAGCCAGAACTCTTAAGATGGCACAGACGAAAACTAGAAATGATGTATGTTATTGGAGATTTTGAGTCACTGAATAACCACTCTTAGAATCTCCTGACTTAGGGGCCTTCTCTGTGAAAGAAGACCTTTTCCTTACTGTAACAATCATTTCCAGTTGTTGTTACATTATAGTAAGAAAATATCCTAATTAATAAGATGCATACCCTAAAGCACTACTCAGAAAAGGCTTATTTAATTTCCTCTATAAGTAAAGAAACATCTATCAATTTCGGGAACTAAACTCAGGATATAGAGAAAAGGCCTATTCTATGGTTAAGGATGTTTAAAATGACATCTTTAAGGTAGGAACATGTACACTTTCAACAATGCAGAACACTTAAAAGTGTCATTACTTAAGAATCATAAAATTATTCTTAAAAAAGTTTTAAATGCATGATTTTATATTTTTGAATTGAAATCATCTTCTGAACAAGACTTTCTAAGTGTGAAGAAAAACTTCACAATTTTCATTTTCAGATTATAATGGAGAAAACAACTAGGTGTTTGGATGGCTGGCTGGTAATTCTAGCTTTTGATTAGAGTCTTGGAAGCTTTAGGAATGTGAAATAACTGAGGCCCCTTACTATATACAATGGTATATACTTAGTATAAAGCAAATGCAATAGTATTAGTCACAATGATATTAATCTTTGGTAGAAATATTCTACGATGCCATCCATTTCAGATTCCTGAATGTGCAAGCTCCAGAGAAATATGAGTTATATCTGTTCCTGACTTTACTATCTGTCAACACAGAAAGATGTTACATAACTACTGACTACTATCTATGCTCTACTTTCATCCCCATGATTAATTTATATTATGATTGAGATTTTGTGCTTCTTTATCCCCTTCACCTATTTCATTCCCTCATCTAAGCTCCTTCCCCACGGTAACCAACAATCAATTCTTAGTGTCTATGAGTCTACTGCTGTTTTGTTTTTAGATTCCACATGTAAGTGAAATCATAAGCATCTATCTTTCTCTGCCTGGCTTATTTAACTGAGCATAATACCCTCTAGATCCATCCACATTGTAACAAATGGCAGGATTTCTTTCCTTTTATGGCTGAATAATATTCCATTGTATGTATGTACCACATCATCTTTATTCATTCATCTATTAAGAGACACTTTGGTTACTTCTATATCTTCCATATTAGAGCTAACTTTCTTATAAATAAGGTCAAAAATGATACCAGTATCAATCACTTTTAAATTAGACATCAGTTTATACTCCCTTACTTACAGAATTCGCTCCTTTTTCAGTTTGGTTACTTTTACTTGTAAACCTGAAAAACAAAAATAAAAATACCATAGTATTTTACTTGTACATTTTACCATTTCTAAAGCAGCTCACCTAAGTTTCTTCATGAGTTTACTACTACACAATTAAGTAACTAGAGTCTGGCCTCTGAACAACGAGCCAGGTCCCACTAGTTTGAAGAGAATGTATATCCCTTACTTGTACCCTGAGGTCACAAAAGTGTATCTGCAAAATTATTACTTTTAGCCTATTATAGAACAGCCAAGTAGAATGAAATTTTCTCCACCTGAGGTGAGTTACTTCCTTTCTAATAGCAGGGGCAAGCATATAATTAGAAGTTTACTGTAAATGAAGGTCTATGTTCTGACATAACCTTCATATTTGCTAATAGCTCCAGTGCTTATTTAGGCTCAAGTCTTCTGGGATTAAAATAGATTGTGTCAGGAAGTCCTGGACTTCGCAAAATTGCTTACAGAAAAGTACTCACAAAGTGCACTAGTGTTTTGATCAGATGTATGTTACTTGCATTTTGAATTTTAACTGAGTCAGACCAAAACCTAAGACCACACTGCCTGTGGGACCAGGTAGCTATTGTGAAGAAAGCAAGTTGATGGGCACTGAAACGCCAACAAAGGATATGGGCAAAACAGACATTTCTACATTTTCAGAAACAGTAGTTAACAGGAGAAAAACAGTCATTAAACAAATATGAAAATATATCCAATATCACTAGCAACTAAATATAAATCCAAATCAAAACAATTACTTGGCAAAATAATAAAGATTATAATACCCAATATTGACAAAAGTATTGGGAAACTGTACTCCCATACTTTGCTGGAGATATTATAAATTGGTACAATTCTTTTGGAAAGCAATTTAGCAATACATAATAGAACTCATTTTCATCTATATTTTTAACTTCCTGGATTATAACCTAAGAATATAATCCAGACCATAGAGAAATTCATAGTCACAAGGAATATTGAGCAATTTATAGCAAAATTAAATGTTAAAATAGGAATATGTTTAAGTCAATATTAACCACTTGATGAAATGATTATTAAAGTAAGTTAAAAAAAACTACTCAGCAACACTAAACTGTTTGGTTTTTTAATTTTCTCTATGCCCTCTTTTCTGCAGTGTGGTTATCATAAAATGAAGAGAAAGTTTCTATAGTTACTTTTTCTGATTCCTACATCAATCCTTTTACTATTCTAAAATTTTCCGAATTGTGGATATTTTATTGGGTATTTTATTTTTAAAAAACAATGCCTGGCAAGTTTAAAAGTTCTGTATCTATTCAAGAATTTCTTTTATAAGAGGCACAATCAGTCCTCAATAGCTACTAGTTGACTGACTTCTGAAAAATCAAAGATTTACTATTTGCCTTTGATAGTTTATCTATGGACTCTAACTAAAGTTATGCATTTAGAAAAGCTTTCCATATAATGTGTATAGAACTATCAACAAATCCATCATTTCTAAGAACAGGATTTTCATTATCTGTTATCTTTTAACTTAGACAAATAAGCATATTAAAAAACCTACACATCCCCCCCCACCAACCCTTACTGTGCTGACTAGGGATGAAGTTAAAAGTCATAAAAATACTGATAGGGAAGTCTCTTTTTACTACCCTAAGAAGTAATGATTTAATGACAGGAAATCCAGATATCATGGAAAAATAAAGGACTTGAAGAATTATTTTGTTACACTTTTGCCTTACATCTCAAATTATACCTTTAGGAAATGTCCAACTGATCAGATACATTTTACCCTGATTTTTGTGGCGTATAATTGGAATTAATAAAATGCTTTGAACAAACCTATCAATCAGATGCTCATAGCAGCTGTATTTGTAATAGCCTTCAACAAGTAAACTGTTAGGAATAAAAAAACTGTGGTGATCCTTGTACCACATACTCTTCTCAGCAATAAAGAGGAATAAATTAATGATACATTCAACAACTTAGATGGCTCACAAGAGAATTATGCTGAGTAAGAAAAAAAACCCAATCTCAAAGGGTATATCCTATATGATTCCACTTACACAGCACTCTTGAAATGACAAATTAAGAGAGCTGGAGAACAGATTACAGTGGCCGGAAGTTGGAGGGGGGTTAAGGTGGGAGGAAGGCAGCTGGGGACTTAAAAGGGTGGCATGAGGGATCTTCGGTGGTAGTCACAGTAATTGAAGGGTCCCCACCAGTAAGATAGCAAACTTTCGGCTTCTCTTCGGGGTCCTCAGTTCCCGCCGGCGCCACCTGAAGCCCAATCACCTCTCGCCCCCCTCCCAATCCCAGCACCTAGCCAACAGCCACCAGCCCCGTAGAAGTGACACCTCAATCAATTCATGCCCCCTCCTATATAACCCAGCACCTTTCCCTAATAAAGCGGAACTCTCCGGTGAATTGCTGCTATGTGTCGCTCCTTTCCTTTCA